AGTGATGTGTTAATGCCGATAATGAAGTGTTCGGCCACAAACATTACTAGGTCAAATATATTTAGTTTATTTCATTAATTGAATGATTAGTTTATTTCCTTAATTGAATGTTTTCAATTAAATGATTTCCTTAATTAAAAGTATAAAAGGTCCAAATACCCTTTAATGATTTATTTAATTATTTATTATTTCTTGAATTCTCATTAGTGCATTTAGACACACAGTAGTTGCTAAAAACATTTGAACCTAGCTCGCTCTATATATATATATATATATATATATATATATATATATATATATACACACACACACACACATAATAATATAACAGCATAAGTCGCAAAGACAAAATGCATAGTAACACATGTATCAGTATAAGCAAATAAGACCCTCCGGTCAATAATGTAATAAGACCCTCCGGTTGGTAACACAAATAAGACCCTTCGGTCACACATAAATTACCACATAGGTAAGTATAATGAGAAGACTCACCTCAACTGCTACGCGAGTAATCCTACATTGCCACTGCTGGTGCAAAATGGCTCCCGAACTGAGCCAAACAACCCAACACCATAATCAATAACTAAGCAAGGCTAAACCCTAGCACTAGGCCCAAAGATGTCCCAACAAACCAGACCCACTAATGACCCAAACCCGTTGGGCCCACCAAGGCCCTAGACCAAAAGATCCACAAAGGTCCACTAATGGTCTAATTTTCCAAATTGGGCCCAAACCCTCACTTGGGCCTTACCCTAAAGCCCATTGCTTAACCCTTCACCAAAACACACCTTCTCAGATGGCCCAACAAGACACTAAGAAACCAGGCCAAAGAAGGTAGCCCAAACCGAAATCTAAATGCACAAACCCACTCAGACAGAGTATGTGGGGCGTACAAGCATGTGCGTGCAGCGTACTCGCTTGGAGGCTTGCACGGTACATGTACCTGCTTGTACTCCCAGTGTACTCACTTTATCCAGCCCAAACCTCATATCCACTTAATCCATTAAGACAAAGCTTCCCAAACCACAGATCTGACCTCCTTGAGCTGGAATATCATGTAAAGTTGCCAACTTTACATCCACATATGACCAAAAAAAACTCTTAAGCTAGAAAGGGACTTAATGGATGACTTAATATATGCATGGCCCCATAATACACATAAAGCTTGCATCTTTATGCTCAAATATACCAAAACAAACTCAGATCTGAAAGGATGAACCTTTAAACAACTTAGCTCATCCATTAACTCAAAAAGAAGGCCAAAATCACAATAAACTAGTCATGATGAGATCTATTCATACACAAGGAAAGATTGAAACTTGATACCTCAAATGGCTTCCCCACAAGATGATGGCTCTAGATCTAAGGTCATTCCACTAAGCCAAGCAACTTCAAACTCCTCTTCTTTCCTTCCAAAATCATAAAAGAGTACTAAATCCATCCAAGAGCTCAAGAACACCCTTAAGAGGCAACATGATCGAATTAGGGTTTCTAAGATATGGAGGCTGGCTTGGAAATGAAGAAAAATGACTAACATTATGCTTATATAGGGTACTGTTAACACGTTGTCGCACGCGTATTAAGCAAATAAATTATCACTGCTGTTTGCACTAAAAATATAGCACAGGGAAGCAGGTTCGAATCCTCAGGGACACAGCCTAATGGTCAATGCCTTTTTTCATCAGGCACAATCTAGTCAAGACATAAATTATTAAAAGGCGGATTTGATTTAAACTAAAAACTAAAATTGCAGTGATTATAAACTAAACGAAAATTAATATAAAAAACGATTTCAGTTCTGCTGCGACTTCCCTAATCATGCAATCAATATTGACTTGGTTATTTGAGATGCGTTCTATCTAAGCTGGTACTGAGAAAAACTAATAAGCTCTAGTAATTTCTCTTTTACCTAAATTTTTAATCAAAACAAGCTCTTCAATTAACCCTAACTTTTTACTGTTTAACTAAATAAGCTCTTAATTAAATCAAAAAAGTTGCATTATAATCTATGTAAAATTCCCGGCAATATCCAATACTTCTCACAGGCTCGGAAGCGTAAAGATATGATTTCTACAGTTTATACCAGAGTTAAATCCCAAGAACAATTACGGATTTTATTAACTGATTAACTGGAATGATAAAACCCTAGCTAGGTGATCAAACTAACAAGAATCAAAATCAGACATTCATTAAGAACAAAACTGAAGAATCTAGATAGAAACACAAATCAAAAACCAGATCTAATGATTAATCACATAAAAAGTACTTATCTTATGCAGAACTGAAAACTAGGGTTTAGCCAGACATGGCCAAAATTTGATAAAAATAGATGAAAAGAGACATCAAACAACTAATCTTACTAATCTACTTGAAGGAGATGATCCACAATCTTCAGATCTTCAGAAATTGATGAAATTAGAGAAGAAATGCCTCCAAAATCGTATTTTCGTCGTCTGATACCTCTGGAATCGCCAACTTAGGTTACTGGAAGGCTATCAGGGTCTTTTTATACGTCCAGCAGCAAAAACGGCGCACCTGCGATTGCATGTACTAAACCTGCGTTCGCAGGTTTTGAAGTAAACGCGTCTTGGGCCTTTTTAATGAAGTAGGATGCTATTTTGACACTTTTTGTCCAACCTGCAATTGCAAGGAGACAACCTGCGATCGCAGGTTTTGAGTTTTCACTTCCGGATGAATTTTGGGCACAAAAGAACCTCGAAGGCAACCTGCGACCAAACTTGCGATCGAAAACGGTCACCTGTGATCGCAAGGAGACAACCTGCGATCGTAGGTTGTGCCTATGACGTTTGAAATTTCGTCTACTTTTCATATCATTTTGAATCGCATCAATCGGAGTTACGGTTCTCGAGATATGGTCAAAATACTAACATGGGGTCAAAGCTGCCAGCAACATCCTTTAACTTTGATATTGTATATTCTATCTTCGTGTGATCAATTCAATTGAATGTTTCTTGACCAAAGAATCTACCAAACATTCCTCAATATACTCCAGAAGTTCCAAGCTCCATTTTAAGCTCCAAACACGCATCCAATTGCTCCCAAAGCACTGCTCCACTCGAACTATCTGAAATCAACATAAAACATGAGCAGTACGGGAATTCTAACAAAAGACATGAGCTGAACATTATTTAAATAAATTACATGCCAATGTACAAAATATGATGCTAAAATGATAATGAAAACTACCCTATAAGATGCATAAAATGGCATCTAACATGTACAATACTCGGTATTAGGGTTTTTAACTTCCTCTCGTACGCCCAACATACCTCCTCGTACGCCCAGCGTACGAGGTCTCGCACCCCAACCCACTCCTCTCTGTACGCTAAGCGTACACTCCTTTATGCATGATGTATAGCTCTTCGTGTTAGTAAGCCCAGCGTACCTCCTTGGTACGCCCTGCGTACCTCCTTGATACGCCCAGAGGTCTTCCTCCAAACCCTAATTTAATCTGAAAGCCATAACTTCTTTGATACAACTCCGACTCCCATCATCCTTATACCCATGAAAAGGTATTGAGAAACCCTACACTATTATCAACTCATACCAGCCATAAGATATTCTGAACGAACATCTACTTCCTATAAAAGCCCAACTGATAAATTACCGAAATACCCTTTTAGCTCCACATCACAGCCGAATACTCGTTTCATCCAATACATCATCCACCTCTAAATGAGCTCCAAAACTAACTTCCTCGATGATTCTAACCTTGCTAATACCCAATCATTGATGGCCAATCCGAAATGAAAACGACCTAAAACAATGTTACACTTATTTTCTTAATTTGGTAATTCCAATCTCTTATCTCCTTTTCATTTGTTAATTTTTGCTAATACTTCTACTTTTATTGTATGAAATAGTGATCTTCATCCAATCAACTATTTATTTTCCCGTTGTAATTTACATTGTATGTAGTTGTTGGTACCATAGCCAAGCAACTTTGTATGTTAATTTTGAATTTGGAGCATGGCTTTGACAGGTGGGATTTGGAAGGGAAACAATCACCAACTTTGAAGGCAATACTTACCAAGGAAACAACATGCTTCCTTCAACTCATCACTTTAATACAACTTTCATCAACCACAATCACACTTTGTCAGTCTGTGTTGTGTCTTTTAAATTTTACAAAGTTTTGCAATTTCTGATACAAGAAGCGATCATGGATTCAATTTAAACTTGGGAATTTCAACTACTTTTGTTGGTGAAGGTTCAAGTGGAAATGAAAATTCAGAACAAGCTCATTTGAATTATGCCCATCACGATTGAAAATTGCAAGTAACAAATAATCCACAAGTCATAATACAAATTTATTGATTTTTTTTATATTTTAATCATATTTTGCTATATTCCATCTATTTATGTTATGTTAAAGCAGATGGAGAACCTTGTTTCAATAGCAGTAGACTATATGCTAATCTTTTGTCTTCATTATCATTGTTTAAGTATGTATTGATTTAGCAGTGAGTTTCTGCATCACTTGATAAATATAAACTAATTATTGTTTTGGAAATTTATTTCAAAAGAAAGTCACTTCTTTCCCCTGTGTATTTCCGCAATTTTTGCTTTAATGTTATTATTCTCTCATTTTCAGCTATTACTATACAAAATAAACTTGAGTCATTGTGTAGGGAGCTACAAAAAAATGTTAAAGGTATGATTTTTAGTTTATGCACCGATTTCGTTTATTCTCAAATTTTATAGTTGTAGTTTATTTATGTTTGTTTCAGTTTTACCAAATATATTCAACAAAACATTCCAAAACTTTGGTGGCTTATCCTTCTAATAAGATTGTTTCGACATTATCAAATCATAAATTCATAGGTTGGAGCAAATCAAGAAAACACAAGTGAAAGTTCAAGTCCTATCAAAAAGAAAAAAACAATAATAAGTAATAACCCAACCATTGTAAATTAAATCAACATGTCTACTTTTAACGCTTCTATGCTCTTATATATAACATTAAAGTTTCCATAACATTACCAAAACTCTCCACATGAACAAAACCCATTATTAAAATGATGAAACCGATTTGTATCCCTTACTACAACCTCCCTTCCTGTAATCTTTGATGCCAACTTCATAAAAACATGGCAATCCCCACAAATCCTAAGATTCTTCATGATTCTTATAGGAGCAGAAGAAGGTAAACACATTATTCCAAAAACAAAAGCAAGTTTCTCACTATGGTACCTTAAAAGTTCCTCTTTCTGATTCTCTTCAACATTATGCAAATCATGTTGTGTCTCACATCTATAACCAAACTTTCTCATTTCTTCAAGAATACCCTCCAAGTTTGAATATATCTCATGGATTCTATCATGGTTTCTTTCTCCAACCATAAAGGCATGAACTTTGTCTTTAACCTCAATCCAACTCTTACCTCTTTCTTTCTTTACTTCTGTTTCTTTAAGAAGCTTTCTTGCTTGTATAACTTCATCCCATTTTCTATTTGCAGCATAAATGTTTGAAAGCAACACATGATTTCCAGCATTTTCAGGTTCAATTTCAAACAAATGTTTAGCAGCAATCTCAGCTAATTCAATATTTCCATAAACTCTACATGAGCTTAAAAGTGATCCCCAAATGGAAGCAGTAGCCTCAAATGGCATTTTGTCAATCAAGATTTTAGCTTCATTGATCAAACCTGTTCTACCAAGAACATCAACCATGCATGAATAATGGACAACATTAGGTGATAAATTATGTTCTTTTATCATCATTTCAAAGTATTTCTTCCCTTCTTTCACTAACCCCATATGGCCACAAGCAGACAATACAGATACATAAGTAACCTCATTTGGTTGCAAGCCGATTTGGTGCATTTTTTCAAATAACATCATTGCTTCCATGGATCGACCATGTCTTGAAAACCCAGAAATCATTGCATTTAGTAAAACGATATTCTTCTGTTTTACACATGAGAACACTAAATAAGCTTCATTGATGCTTCCACATTTGGAGTACATGTCTACTAGGGAAGAAGAAACAAAGAAGTTCAGAATGAAACCTGTTTTGAACAACACTGCATGTGCTTGAATTCCTTCAATTTTAGCAGCTATGGCTGCACAAGCTGCAAGAACTGAAGAAAGAATGAACTGGTTGAATTCAACTCCTGTAGTTTGTACTTTTTTAAACGTCATCAATGCTTCCTCATGAAGCTCATTTTTCACATATCCTGCAACCATTGAACTCCATGTCACAGCACTTCTTTCGGGCATATACTCAAACACACGGATTGCATCTTTTAGTAGGTTGCATTTTGCATAAACATCGAGTAAAGCAGTGCCAACAAACATGTTTTCAAGCATAGATGCTTTGAGAGCAAAAGCATGTAACTGCCTACACTCGAACACTGCAAACTCAGCTGCACAAGCACACAAAACGCCTGAAAGTGTGAATTCACTGAATTCTGTTCCTTCTCTTTGCATCTGAACAAAAAGATCAAGAGCCTCCTTTTCGTTTCCATTTTGGGTATATGAACCAATCATGGTATTCCAAGAAACTAGGCTTCTTTCAGGCATTTCATCGAACACTCTCCGCGCATACTCCAGAAACCCACATTTTGAGTACATATTAATGAGCATATTTGAAGTTAAAGTGTTTGCCCACAGTCCATACTGAATTATACAGCCATGACAGGCCATCCCTTCCATGGGTAAAATTTCTCTCGCACATTTTTGCAAAATCTGGTGTAAAACGGATAGACGAATAGGGTATGTAGGCACATACGAAGGGGTTTCCTGGGGTTTCCAGATGGGGCCATGTGCGTCCACTGGTAAGGGTGTAACTATGGATGACAGGTTCCTTCTATATGTTTCCAAGGTTTGAATGGGTTTATTGAGTCGCCGCACAGCTTTCATGTCATGGATTTCAGTAAATCACCAGGCGGCTGTTATTGGAGGCATAGGATACGGGTCGGGTGATGCCACCCATCCGGACAGCGTTTTCCCACCTTGTCATTGAAGTATCATGTATAGATAGAAGTAGGGTTGGTACTCGATAATATGTGGAATTGATCTAGATATTCGAATATATTTTCCGAATGACTTTTTTTTTTTTTTTTTTTTTTAATGAAACGGCGAATAAGATGCATATATTATAAGAAAAGAAGCCATAGCAAGAAGCTATGAATATAGTGCATGGGAACAAGAAAAACAGAAACATAAACTCACGTGCAAATATGAAAAAAGTAATTAGAGGTCAAAATGGGAAGAGGATCGGCCCAATAGTGCGGGCACGACGGCCACGTTACAGTTTAGGGCCCAAAATTATATTTGTCTTTTACTTTAGATATATATGAATTGTGTTTGAAATTTATGCAACTTTTCCTTATACTTGATGGTTAGTAACATGTAAAACAATGACAGGCGCACAGTTTTGAATTAATGAGAGGCGCCCAGGTTGAAATCTTTTGGAGCCTTTATTTTTTAATACTTTTAAAAACTAAGATTGTTTTTGCGTATTTTATTGAGTTTTGAATCCAAATTATAGAAATAGTACCTTTATTTTTTAATACTTTTAAAAACTAAGATTGTTTTTGCCTATTTTATTGAGTTTTGAATCCAAATTATAGAAATAGTACATTTATTCTTCTTTGTTATTCAAAAATCATCCAAGTTATAGATATTATTCCTAAACTCTTTGTTTTTTTTTACAAACCATCCAAACATTTATTTCATTTAAAATTTTGGTCTTTTCTAGCTATTATCATGGATAATTTTTCTATTTATATATGGGATTTTCTACCTTACATCATCTTTTAATATATAATAACTATTATTTATAGTTTTGTTATAAAAAAATCATGTTAATCTACCTGTTTTTCACCAAACGATGATTTTTTTTCCTAACACTCATCGTTTTTGGTTTTTTTTTTTCAGACACCAAAGTGACTGTTTTTCAAAATGGTTTGATTATATGTTTTTTTCATTGTTATTAGTTTTTTGTGCTAACCTAGTGGTTTATTGTATCATTGTATTATTTTCATACCATATATATTTAATTTAATAGCAAATGCTCATGTACTTGTCTCCGTATCATTGTATTATTGTTTTTGATTATTAAATTTTGAGGGGCCTCATTTTTAGTTTTTGCCTCGGGCCTCAAGTTGACTTGGGACGGCCCTGAATGGGAAGCAGCTCCGGTCTACCCAACATTTTCCTAAATTGCCCCTCTATTTGCACCATTCAAACGCCTGTAATATGATTGAATCCGCCGTTTTAGTAGGAAATGAATGTTTTTGTGGAAGATTTTCTCATTACGGGTAAACCAAATATTTCACACTATCGAGTATAAGATAACATTAAACACCTTTCTTTTTTTTGAGCAATTCTCCCAAGAATTTCCAAACTCAATACATTCCTTGATGTTGTCAAATTCAATGCCCTGTACACCACACCATTTGAGGATCCAGTGCCATACCGTCTTTGCAAAGTAACACCCGAATAAAAAATGGTTTGCTGATTCGATTGCACTTTCACATAGTTGACAATTCAAGTTAATTACCGAAATACCCCTTTTATGGAGTACTTCTGCAATCGGAATTCTGTCAAGATTGGTCTTCCATACAAAACATTTGACTTTAAGGGGAATGAGTTTCGACCAACATATCAGAGTCCCAGTGAATGGGTTATCGGAATCGTCTATTAGTCTCCTCATAACGTTGACCAGATAAGTTCCTTCCCGATGTAAGGTAAAGCGAAATCCAATTTTTGAAGAAAATTGAAACTCCTGAGCGACAAAGAATTGATAAAACTCATGTAATTCTATAAGTATATTGTGATTAGGGGGTTTGCGTTTCCATCTCCACACAAAGTCATCCACGTTTATCCTATCAAAAATTGTGCACTTTTTAACTGTGTCCATGTTGTACAGGTAAGGGAATCGAATCGATAATAGGGTATCCCCACACCAGATGTCTTTCCAAAAAAGAATCCGCATATTGAAGCTTGGAATTATGGAGAATATCCCACTTGGTTCCATATCGTGACTAGATAGACTTTTAATGGCTTTGTCAATATTACCCCAAACTCCAGAACAATCCTTTATGGACAAAAAAGTAGAGGGGTGTGCTTTGAGATTATGGATACTCTCGAAGTTTTCTGCCCATAGTTTCATTTGTTCATTCTTAAGTCTCCGCCACCATTTGGTTAAAAGTGCGATATTTTGTGTTGATAGTGTACCAACATTCAAGACTTTCATATTTTATATGTATTGTGTACCAAAAAAAAGATATAAAAAACAATTGATTTTTCTTCAATTTTAACAAGCAAGATATGGCAAGCACTAGTAATTTAAGTTTTGTTCCTTGCCAAATCGATGGTAATTTTAATCTAGGAAATACAGATTTAATTAACGAATTAGAAAAAAGACTTTCAAAACTTCATATCTCAAACACTAATAATATTAATACTCTTACGAATGAAGAATCTGAAAATAGTGATATTAATAGTGAAACAAATTTTGAAACTCTTGCTCAACAATTTGATACAAATGATGATATTAATCAACTCACTAATGACTTTTCAAATCTTAATAAAATTCATCAATCAAAGCAAAGCACTTTCGGAAAAAATCCAAAACCAACCATAAGAAATTATTGGAATAGACCCTCTCTTCCAGATGTTCAACTTGAAGAACGAAGTTTTCAATTTGACCGTTCTCAATATGATGGTAATTCTGTTTATGAATGGAATATTGATGGCCATTCTGAACATCAAATTATGAATATTGTACAAGAAATGACTATGGCTGCTAATGCTTATAAAGCTCATAATAATACTCAACTCCAAATTGTTAATATTATTACTTCTGGTTTTACTGGCAGTCTTAAAGGCTGGTGGCATTTCTATATTTCACAAGAAGAAAAAGATTATATTTTATCTGCTAAGAAAACTATTATAAAACAAGAAAATAATCAACAAATACAAACGTTTGAAGATGATATGGTTAACACTTTAATTTTTGCTATTATCAAAAACTTTGTAGGGGATCCTACTACTTTTCAAGAAAAAACTTCAGAAATTTTAATGAATTTACATTGCAGAAAACTTACTGATTTTAGATGGTATAAAGATAATTATCTTGTTAAAGTTTTTTCAAGACCCGATTGTAAAGAGTCTTATTGGAAAGAACGTTTTATTGCTGGCCTTCCAAAACTCTTTGCGGAAAGAGTTCGACAAAAATTAAGAGAAAATTTTAATAATACCATTCCTTATCAAAATCTAACTTATGGAGATTTAATAAACTATATTAATAAAGAGGGATTAGCAGTTTGTGCTGATCTTAGGTTTAAAGAAAAACTCAAAAAAGATAGAAATTAACAGTAAAAATGAATTGGGAAATTTTTGCCAACAATATGGTTATCAGCCCTTGAATGGTCCGTCTACTTCAAAATCTAAAGTTTTTAAGAAAAGATCTTCAAAATATTTCAGGAAAAAGAAATATAATCTTCCAGAAAATTATAAAAAGGGTAAAGATTACGCTTCGAAAGCCAAAAAACCCTATAGACAAAATTATAAAAAATCTAAAAGAAAATCAAAAGATATTATTATTTGTCATAAATGTGGGCGTAATGGTCATACAGCAAATAATTGTTATGCTAAGACAAAAATAAATGAGTTAAATGTCTCTGAAGACTTGAAAGAACAAATAAGAAAAATTATTTTAAATACTGATTCAGATTCCGATGAAAGTATTTCTGACTTTCAAACAAATGATTTAAATATTCTCGAAAATACTACTTCAAGTTCTGAAGATTCTGATATTTGCGAATGTATTGGTAAATGTCACTGTAACAATTTAATCAATGTAATCACTAGTGGCTCCATTAATGTTCTTTCGCAAGATGATAAAGATCTTTTAAACTCTCTTGATTCTATAAAAGATAAAAATATCCAAGAATTGCTAATAAAACAGATGCTTAATAAAACTAATAACATAACTCCTGCTAATAATGAAAATTTTAATTTAAAAAGTATATACGAAAGATTTACTGAAACAAAGCCAATTTCTATGCAAGAACTTCAAGAAGAATTAAAAATAGTAAAACAAGAAATAAAAGAAATAAAAAATAAAATTTTAATTTTAGAAAAGGAAAAACCTTCTACTTTTAAAAACAAAAATATAGAAATTAATAATGAAGAAGAAAATAAAATTGAAAATGTAACTATTGGTAAACTTATAAATAATCAAGTTTCTCAAAAATGGAACACTAAAATTACTTTAGTTAAGGATAATTTTAAAATCAACCTAACTGCTTTAATTGATAGTGGTGCTGATATGAATTGTATTCAAGAAGGAATTTTTCCTACACAATTTTATGAAAAAACTACATCTAGACTTACTGGTGCCGGAGGTACAAAATTAATTGTAAATTATAAAGTTTCTGATGTTCATATTTGTAATGACCAAGATTACTGTTATAAACTCACCTAATTTTAGTAAAAGATCTCTCTTCTCCTTTAATTCTAGGAACACCTTTCATTACAAAACTATATCCTTTTATGGTTCATGATGATGGTATAAGAACCAATGTTTTTGGAAAAGAAATTATATTTAAATTTTGTGAACCTCCTCTATATTCAACAATTAATGTCCTTAATTATAAAACGCAACAAGCCAAATATCTTATTAACGAAATAAATAATGTTCGAATAACTAATCAATTAAGTGATAATAATATTCAGAATAAAATAACCGGATTAAAATTAAAATTTGAAAAAAATGTTTGTTCTAATATTCCTAATGCCTTTTGGAATAGAAAGCAACATATTGTAAAACTACCATATATAAAAAATTTTAATGAAAAGGATATTCCTTCAAAATCTAGAGCCATTCACATGAATAATGAATTAGAAAG